ACATCAGGAGAAATTCCTAAGTGTAAGAGCTTTTCAAAATCAGAGAGTCTCAAAGAATGATGAATTCTCCTCTATTGGAGATGTTTAAATGGGTGCTGGATGATCACCTGTCAGGGATGCTGCACTAGTAGATTCCTGTGTTGAATAGGAAGCTGGACTTGATCATATCTAAGATCCCTTTCAGTTCTTCCATTTTGTAATTCCATGGCTTGAATTTTTGTTATCTTAATCAGTATTGTACATCATAAAATATACTAGATTGCTTATTGGTTAAAATGCATAGACGTGCTTTCAGACTTTCTAAGAATTGCATCCTTCTTGAAGAGAAGAAAGAAAAGAACGGAAATATATGTTCTAAACCAAGGGTCCCCAACCCCTGGGCCGTGGCCCACTACCGGGCCATGGCCTGTTCGAAACCGGGTGTGGGAGAAAAGGATAAGTGCACAAGCAGAGCTTCACACATGTGCACAAGCACCCTCTGGTCAAGCACCCTCCACTCATGCGTGTGGAGCACAAACACCCTCTGCTTGGGAGCAAATCCATTTGTGTGAGTGGAGGGCATGCATATGCACTGTTTGCACAGATGGAGCTATGCGCATGCACGTGTGCTTTTCACTCATGCCCCTCCCACGCTGGGTCGGTTTGCCAAGCTGGAAAGGATGGGGATTGTTGTTCTAAACAACACTTGTGTTCTTACACTGAAGCAGGGGTGCAGTTTATGAGGGTGAAGGTTCGTTCTCTGAGCTTGTAGATGCAGTTTATGTTAGCTATTTGAATTTGTCAGGAACTCTTGTTAGAATAGAAGTCCCCAACCTTTTGGGCACCAGGGACAGTTCTGTGGAGAAAGGTTTTTCTGTGGATCGGAGAGTGTGTGATTTTGTGTGCTGTCTGCATCCCATGGATGGGAGGGACTTTGCTTGTTTGTGCAGACCAGTTGTGGGCATGCTGCGGCCCAGTACCAGTCCACAGACCGGGGGTTGGGGACCCCTGTGTTAGAGGACATGCGAGTGAACATATGTCAAGTACTATATAAGTCATTGAGTAGTAACAAATGCTGTTCAAAAGGAAAAGTGCTCATAACATACTTTTCTTGGATGCCAAGATTAGGCTTCAGGCAGCTATTGGTGAATGCTAACAGACACCAATATTTCAAGTAACAGTTAAATATATTAAGATATACATAGGGAAGTAAAATCTCACTGGAATATAAACTGCATTCTAAAATTTCCTAGTCCCTTAAATACATTTATTTAACTTAAAATGAGTCAGAAGAGAGATAACGTTGTATCTTTTATCTATCGCTCCTTTTATGTTCCAGGGATCATAAGGTTCATAAGTGTGAAGAGATGGTGCAATCTCCAACATTTAGATCCTGAATTCTATGTTTTGATCTGTCTCCTTTTTAGATTGTAACATATACTATATCTGTTAAATCTGTTACATTTTATGGCCCTTCTGAGTTTCTGTCTAAAATCTTACCTGGGTATTAATAAACAAGGAGAGGTAAATGTAGGGTCATTGCCCATATTGAGGGATACAATTCAGTGCAGGTCATTCCAGCTTTTGATAAAAGTATGAAAATTCTTCACCTCAGATGGAGATTTACTTTCTAAAATTTATGAAAAGACCCAGAAGTCTCTCTCTCTCTCTTTTTTTTTTTCTTAATGTTTAATGCCCAACATGCTTACCACAGCATGGGGCTCTTTGAAAAGGAAAGCCTTTGTACTTCTTCCTTGAATAGCCCTGTGATCATATAAAGTGAAAAAGAATAAGAACAAAGAATCTAAGCTTGATGTAAACAGAAAATCCAAAGATAACCTGGCAATAGAGACAGGCTATTTATGGCAGTTTAAAAGAAAAAAAAAATCAGAGCTTAACCGAGAGTTTTAAAAAAAGAATTTTCCATGGAGCATTTCAGTTAAAAAGCTGTATAATGCACTGTATTTATAAAAGAAAGATGGCCCTGAATGACTAAGAATGACAAAGAATTATAGACAGTTGAAGTGCATCCATAGAGAAGACAATCCATCCATGAACCTTCAATGTTTTTGTAGAGTTCTCACTCTTAGTGAATTTCCTTGTCAAAAGTTGTCTGCTTCCATTCAGTGAACGTAAGATGATCCTCCTACTTCATAGATAATTATTTGGAGAAGGTCTCATATTCCTTTGGGTTAAACGCTGTTAACAGTAGAGGTAGCAGAGAATTAGAAAGTTTGAGAAGTGAAATAAAGGGAATAGAAAACAAAAATATCAAAAGAAAGTTTGAGTCTCAACTGGAAAGCTCTGTTTTTCAAAGAAGATTCCTTAGACCCCTTTGTGGAATTGGTCTGATAAGGCAAAGGAACATTAAATTTATTTAAGCATCTATATAAACTGGTGGTTGATCAATTCCTTCCCATTTATCTTTTCAAGATGAGAGCTTTTTGGTACTCTTATTTAGTTTCCTTGAGCAACAAAAGTTGCAGAAGTGCTAGTTTGGCCTAGGTTTCCAGAAGTACTTGTCTTTCAAATTATATAATTCAGACAAACACTTGCTGAACTAAAGAAATGGTGCAAAATGGCCATTTTGTTTTTTCTGGGGTTTTTTTTTGGGGGGGGAGGAGGAATGTTTCTGAAGAAGTGTAAAGTTAGAATGTAGGGAGCTATCAACCAAGTACTTTCTGAGCATCTGATACCTCTTATTTGGGATGAAGATACCAAGGATTAAATATGGCGTCTCTAAGTTGATTGTGGCATATTTGGGCAGTTCTTTGAAGTCAATTATCTCATGGTTTCCTGTGATCTTTGAAGTAAACTACTTGTAATGCCCCTGTTCTTAGCAAGTTCAGGATAGGCCGATATTGTTGCTATTAGAAAAATGTCCATCATTTCTGCAAGGTAGTGCCACAACTGAGTTAGCATGCATCAGCTAAAGTTAGTAACTGTCCATCTTATATTTTGAGCCTTGTTTTTCCATGTAGAATCTTCTTGTTTTCTTCCCAGGGCTTAAGAACCCCTAACTTACAAAATTATCAAACTTCATTCAACTCTGGGGAGTTTGTGTTGTTATTAAAATGATTAATACACTGCATTGATTGAGTTTCTTAGCAAGTTCAAAGCAGACTTCTGGCTCCCTGGATGGAAGATGGATATGGTTTCCATGGCAGCAGCAGCAACATGCAGTGCACCAAGCCAGCAAGGAGGATTTTAGGAGTCTTATGCTCTGACCAATCAGAATTGACAGGCAACAATGATACCATAGCAGGATCTCTGCTGCAGCTACAGCTCATCTATCTCCCCTGTGTCAGCTAGGGGCGGTCATCTATTATAGCTGGGATTACTGACAGCATCCTCTTTGCCTTTGTTCTAATTCTTCTTTTTATTCCTTCAGTGCTTCATCTCCTTCATAGCAGAGATAGCTTTCTGAATGCTTGAAGTTTTTCCATAGATCCTTCAGTACTACACTTTATTTGAAATTTAAAAGCTATGGTCAAAGTTATGCGTATGTGATTTGGAAATACATAGAGGGTTTGGGTCCAAATATCACTTCTGAATCAATGAATAAAGTCTAATTTTATTTGCAAAAGCAAAAACAGAAGACATGTTCAAAGTTATCATGGTTGCATTTTATTGTTTGTTTGCTGCCCATCTCGCCACAAGGTGATACCAGGTGGCTAACAACATACAAAGAATTGGACCACAAATAGGCAAAGTGTTAAATATATATGTGATCAATGACTAAGCAAAATATTAATGTCTAGGCCCCATTCTTTGTCTTGGCTCTGCATCTCCCCTTTCCCTAATGTCTATAAGCATTAGTAAGGATTATGTTAGGTTCCATGATAATACATTGCTGGAATATGTGGTAACGAGGTAAACATTTTTTTAGCTCATCCAATCTCCAGTGTTGGGTGCCTCAGCAATCTTTACATGTTATAAGCTTCTGCACATACAGTAAGAGAGCAGTCATTTGAGCAAAGATAATCCTGTTGCTATTCAATCTTTACCATTTATTCATCCCATTTCAAGCATTCCCAATATTTCTACAATAACCTTCAAGGCAGGCCTTTATAACTTAAATTATAGAGATTAAAAAAACTGAGGCTGGAAATTGGAGTTTTTTAAAGGACATTTTACTAAGTTTAGGGCTGAGATAAAACCATTGTCATTTAGATCCCAGCTGATACACCTAATCTTTACACTACTACCTCTCCCTTTTATCTTTTGTTACATCCACTGTTCCTAAACCCATGAAAATATGAATAGTTAGGACAGCTTATGCAAACTGATGAATTGCAGCATTTTTCTCTGAAAGTAGAAAACATGGATGTACTTGACATTTAAGAAAAGGGGGATGACCCTTTGAGTTCTTTCCTGTTAGTTGGCAGGGAGCTGTGGTATTATTCATTATTCCTGGGATGATACTGTGTGTTCAGTATCTCTAGGTAAAGAGAGACCAAAGTGTACAGCCAATAGGACTCCTATTCTGCTGCCTTTCTCTATTCCTGGGGACACACAAGGCCTATTGTTGGACAGTTATGTCAGTGGTTCTCAACCTGTGGGTCGGGACCCCATTTGGGGTCGAACGACCATTTCACGGGGGTTGCCAAACAACGCAGTCTGCCATTTTCCCCCCTTTTCCTTAGTTGTGCTACTCCCTTTTATTCTATTGGCTTCTGAAAGCCAATAGAATAGACTCTCTTGAATAGAGTCTAATTCTATTTCAAAAGCCAATAGGAATTGTCCAGGCTGTCTCTGCCCTGCTGAGCCCGCCAAAAGTCCCATTCTGCAAATGGTGCTGCACCAGTTGAGTAGTCCTCGACTTACGACCGGTTGGGGGTCACAGCATTAAAAAGGTTGAGAACCACTGGTCTATGTGAAACAGAGTCAATGGCAGCTTATTTCATCAGTTTCTTCCCCCACCCCTCTGGTCTCTAGTACATTGCTACCAAAGAGAATTCCTTCAGGTCCTGTAAAGCTGGGGTTATAACGTCTTTTCCTTTTCTTCTCTTCCCACCTAGTGTCCTTTCCTCCAGGCGCTACTACTTTGAGCTCCTCCATAAGCAGGACGACCGTGGATCAGACCATGTGGAAGTGGGTGTAAGTAAATCCCTATGGATTATTTTCCCTATCAAGTACAATAAATCCATTAAGAAAATAAAATAGCTTTTAAAAATAGCAATAATTCTGGCTGCCAGCTAACTGCCCTAGCCCCAAAAGCATTTCTGGCAGAATATTAACTGGACTTTCATTAATGCAGGTTATCGGAGGTACAAATTGAAAAAACAACCTGCCCATGTTTATCAGATCAATGTTTATCAGATAAGACAAGCATAAGGAACTATTTTTTTTTCCTTAACTCCCTTAATTGGGTCTATATAGTAAAACAAAGGATAAGGGAGAAAGAGATAAGTCCCATCTTCTCAGGCTTGTAATGAAGATCGGGAACAGTTTTTTCCCTTCAAATTAATTATAGACTCCACTGGGGAAAATGGAGAGAGTGAGAAAGAGTTCCTAAGTGCTAATTTCTTAAACACTTTTATTTGCAAGATAAAAATGTCTCAAAAAACAAGCTCATTTTCTTGCCTCTTTGTCAAGCTGTATTCCTTTTGTATAAGGCTTCACTGCACTGCACGCTGCCAAAGGTAAAATATTAGTCTTTTAAAAGAGGCTCCATTACATTTCTAAATTAAAAGGAAAACAAGCCACTCAGTAAATGCTCTTCCCTCCCAAGGATTGCCTGTACCTACTGTGAAGTCTTTCTCAAAGGATTTTGGATCGTCCTGGCAGGTGTAACACCCAGAGAATAGGCAATGGGGGAGATGTTCCATGGGATTATCTTTGGTTTAACATCATAACCAGGGGTGTCAAACTGCCGGCCCACAGGCCAGTTGCGTCATGCGGAGGCCGCGCCTATCCCAGCTTCGGAAATGTGAAAAAAGTCACAATACGTCACAACATGTCACATGACGCAGCGAGTTTGAAACCCGTGATATACCATCCTTTGGCTGCTCCAAGAACTGAAAAGCACCTGGGCCTGTAAAACTATTGTGAGGTGATTTGCCTGGGTCAATGTTAAATATGATGAATGAACAGCTTATGCCCTATATAAAAGCAAGTATATAAAGCAAGCAGATAAACCCAAACACCTTAATGCTTGTGTCCAAATGCTTGTCAGTTATTCCCAAAGTGCCCTCCCAGGATTAAACATAGCAACATGAAATATTGAACCTATAAGAGCAGGAAAGGGAAGTAGATTTTTTTAGGGGGAACTCAAAGTGACTGGAACTGCTTTGTGTTCAGACATTTCCAATGGAAGCATCACAAACAGGACAATACCTCTAAGCCCAGCTCTAGGAATATTATCAGTAGACCCTAAATACGAGTTCTCTGAATAATCCAGGTTTTATTTCTCACACATGAACTCTATTTAGAAGATTCTTGGACATATATTATTTTAAGGTATTCACTAGAGGGAGATGAAATTTTGTTAAAATGAAATCTCTTTACCCTAAAGGCAGTGTTATTCTGAAACCATTTTCCATATCCAGAGCATTTTTGTGATTGTTTTTTATTTGCTTTGTTTAAAAAAGTGAACAAATGATATTGAAACTATAAAATTGTAGGTGGCTGTCCTGTCCCCTTCCCAATATTAATATTCACATTGCTGTTTAGAATACTTTATGTAATATTTGCATTTTAAAATACAGAAGACAAGTTCATATGATAGACAGAAGATGTGTAAAGCATTTTCTTTTTAGTACATTTATAGAAACACTTAGCTTACATTCTTTGAAAGGAAATAATAACACATTCCACAGAAGGATAAAGGATTTGACTGCAAGTCAAAAAGCATTGAGACATCACCCAAGAGAATAGTGTTGTCTTTTCTTACAATGCCTGGATCATTTCTCTCTAAAAAAACAAACAAACCTTAAATTTGGGGGTAGGAAGAAGATCCATGTTTGGCTCCAGAGGAGGATATAGATGAGATATACCTGTAGATGCCAATGCTCAAGTTTCATCTTCTCAATTTAAACAAAATAGATTCTAGTCACAGTACTTACTCAAACTTATCAGTCTTTTATTAAGGAAGACCTTTTATTTTCAAATTATACCCTCAATGCATCTTGAAGAAAAATTCCATAAAGCTCCTGTGAAATAGGATTTGCACTTGTTTTCAATGAAAAATGGCAGCCATTATATTATCTGCTGTCCCTTTCATAATATGGTACCATGGGGGTCAGATGATGGAAACCTTCATGGGTTCCGAAGTGGAATGTGTACATTTTTGTTTGTATGTTCCCTTACATTAGTTACTAAGTAGTCACTCTTATTTTGTTGTTGGTTTGAAAGAAATATAAACCAGTCATGTGTCCTGAGGAAAGCTACAGTTTTAGAACTGGTGACTCTTAATGACATTAATGTTTTAAGTTTGGATAGATATCTATATTTGCTAGAATTATATTCACATCTAACCAATTTTATTCTCATTTAATTACTTTTATTCAAATCTGATCGTGTTGGCATTGTATTTTATGTATTATACCTATGTGATATCTATGGTTGCAGCAATACACTTTATTACCTATGAATATAAATACATGCAAATTGAAGGATTTCTCCTGTTTCTTTCAGTGGCGAATTTTCCTTCCCAGCTTCAAGTTTGAAGTCATTGATTCCCCTTACATCTCACTCTATACAGGTAAAGATTCTATGAAGCCCTAGAAACCCAATTCCCACTGCATAGTAATAACTAGGATTGCAGTGGTTATGGTTAATGAGGACAGTATACAAAAAAGTGAGGGGTCATCTGTACGTATTGCCTAAAAGACCTTGTATTCTGATTTTTTTCTTGCATTGAACACCTGTATGCCAATTTTGTAGCATATAGCATCATTGTGATGGGTGAGAGGATAATCTTTTCAGAATAATTAGTGTTCAGAAAGGTTGATCAGCACAAGATAGAAGAAATCCCAGAGAAAAATGAATAAGGATCCCTTTTCTTAGGCAGAAGGACAGCTTTGCCTCTATCTTCCATCAGACAATAGAGAAGAAGGCATAAAAACTCTGAACTTTGTTTAGCAGTCTAAGGATCATCTTTCAAGTTTATTGGATTTATTATTTTTATGCATCATAAAATATCTGTCCTATGTGCTCAAGCTTTGCTGATTAAATATTGTGTTTGTTTTTCAAATTACATTATATTTTGTTACTTTCTGAAACTGCTAGTCAATTTGATTAATTTTGTTGTTTGTATTATTGCTTGATTTTGTTAGTTTATTTTCCTCTGATCTTTTATCATTTTAATTGTATAACGGCTGTGTTTTTATTACTATTTCATAATATTGCTTTTTTTTTAGAATATTTAAATTGCAAGGGAAGCTTTAAGGTGGAATAGACATCTTCCAGATAAATTAATTGAATAATTTTTTCCTGAACTTTTTCCTTCTTAGTCATTTTTCTCAAAACTTTACTAGCTCTTTTATTAATACTGTAGAACATGGGTGTCAAATTCACCACGTCACGTGATGTGTCACAATGTATCACGACTTTTATTGCATTGTCAGAGCAGGGGTGGGCACGGCTTCCATATGATGCAACCGATCTGCGGGCTGGCAGTTTGATATCCCTGCTGTAAAATATTGGCTTCCCTTCTCTGCTGAGCTATCAACTTGCCCTATAGCAGTGATGGTGAACCTTTTAGAGATCAAGTGCCCAAAAACCACCCTCGCCCCCACCTTGTGCCCCTGTGTCGCCCCCTGCCCCGCTCTGCCCACCCATAGGGCCACCCACTGCCTCCACAGCCCCCCAATCACCCTGATGGCCCAGCAGTGCCATGGCAGCTTCATCCTCCGCCCGCGCCCCACAGCATCAACTGTGCATGATGGAGAGCGAGGGTGGAGTCTTGTCCCCACTACCTGGCTGCCATGTCCTTGGCTGTGCTGCTCAGTGTGGGCCGCGCTCAGGGGTGACACTCCTCAGGGGGGCTGCTGATGAGGGGGCTGCGGGGGGGAGGCAGGCCTGAGGTGATGGCGCATGTGCCCACAGAGAGTTCTCTGAGTGCTGCCTCTGGCATGTGTCCCATAGGTTTGCCACCACTGCCCTATAGCCTTTTTTCCATTCAGCCTCCTAAAACTACATCTCTGAAAATCCCTTCTACGAGTTCATTCTAGAAAGTGTGAGGATTAAATTGAGGACTTCTGAGGTCAGAAGCTGAGAAGCCCAAGGCACATATTTGTCAAACTGCAGGAAGGTAGGAGAAAAGTGCTAAAATTAAACCACAGTGGGTATGATAAGGAACTGCACCTTCATGTTGATTGAGGACAATTTACTGTTTTAATAACTTCTTTCTAATATGCAGTGGGGACTAATATCTAACCATGCCATGTCATGTGTCTAAGACTCTTTAGTTGAGTCTAATTCATATTAGGCTGTGTCAACTCAAATGCCTAGAATCACTGCTGGTCTCTTGTCTATGAATCTGGTAGCATGCTTATGAAGTTGGGAGTACGCTCCATAAAATAATATCAGATGGATCAAGCATTTGAGCCATGAAAGGCATTTAGTTACTGTCTTTCACAAATAAAAAAGAAAGGCACTGTAAAACAATGTGAAATGTTGGTGCTTTGCATAAAAGTAAAAGTGTATATGTGTAATATCTCTCGGGGAGCAGTAAATATGAATAAAATTCTGAGAGCATCAGAAGCTTCTAGGAGCTTCTTTGGTCCCTGGGCAAAAAGAAAAGAGGCTAGCATGAAAAGCTCTCCCCCCACCCATCCCAGCAAATGTCCATCAGATGATGCTTCCTAAACTGAATTATGAACAGCTGTCTTGTAAACAAGGATGGATAGTGCCAGGTTTAATTAAATCCATAGATCTTCCACTTCCTGCTCATAACTTGGTCTGGCAGCAGGAGGCACTTGATGAATAGATTTCTGCCTGGCACTCAATACACAAGGTGCCTATAATTAAGTATCCAGCAGAAGGTGTAGATAAAACAGAGGGCTTGTGTAAAAGTATGGGGGTATGGCTGGCACACAAGGGATCAGGGCAATTGGGGTATTGACAGAAGTGCCTGCAAGATAGATGGGCTGTGAGGGAATGTTTCCGTCTGGAGACATCAGTCATTGTGAATTTTCACGTCTGTCCTCTGGTCTACGGCTACCACTCCATGAAAAGTGATTTTCTTGGTATCTCATTCTTTGCCTGAAATTCCTTCCTATGCCAAAAAACAGAAAATAAAACAGGAATGATTGCATATGAACCTCTAAGAGATAGGGAGGAAAAGAGTGAAATATTACCATTTAATATTTAATATATTTTAAACATATTATCACTGGCATAATTTTTGCATTTGATCATTCTTCAACTATGTCCTGGGATGACTAAGTTAACCTTTGTGTTGATGTATTCTGTACAGGGAATTCATGCAATTCTCACTGCAGATTTTATTGTATTTGTATCATGTTTTTCAAAATTTATGAAGCAGTTTAGGGATAACAACAGCAATAATGCAGAAATTAAGCCCAATTGCAAAACTGGGATCAACATCTTGCATTAAAATCAAGAAGCAGCTTATCAGTCAGTAACTTCAAAGGCAGTTAGAACAAATGGGAGATTATATTTCCCAAAAGCAGAGTATAATAAGGAAGGCTGTACCTCATTACTCTGTATTATTAGAGAAGTGCCTGTCTAATGAACTTTTCCAGCCTATCTCATAGTATGGAGAAGGGCAAGGCTCTTGCTGTCTAAAAACCAGATTAGTAACAATATGGGTAGACCAGTATCATATCCTGCCTTTAGGTAGTCTTAGTTGAAAGACAGGTAATAGTAACCTTTTGAGGAAGGCAAATCTCATGTAGGAAGTTTGCTTTGGAAAACCCCGAAGCGTTTAATAACTATATATTTAATTATGTAATTGAGCTGCCACATACAGACAAGTGGATGAATATTGTGGATGTTATCACAGACTTTGCTGCTGTTCAGCATCTGGAATTACTCTCCTTGAGGGTGGAATATGGCCACAGATGGCAGTAATTTCCTTCTACTCTACCCACTTCCTCAAGCTACTCCTGTCTGATTATTTGTCCCTGTCTGCTTTTCCTTTTGCAGCATTACGTGTTTAATCTTCTTAGCCTATCTATTTGCTTTTCCCAACCATTTTTTTAAAATAATGGTTGCTAAAGAAAAAAGAAAACCTTTGAATTCTAGCACCCATTATTATTTGCAAAGCTTTGATCAAAAAGAATCTAAACCCTTTAGAAAGAAAACAGTCAGCAAGCATGTATGGAAAAATGCAAGACAACATAACAAAACTATGTTGTAGTTAATATGCACAAGCTATTCAAGAGAGATGTCCATGGGAAAGTTGCTGAAGCAATTGAAGTACAGACTATGGGAGACGCACTCTTCTCCTTCTGCTATTGTGCTTTCCATAACATGTCATCACATCTTTAGTGTGACTGGAAGAAAGGTCTCTAAATAGCTGCCCTCTTTTGCAGGAGCCTGCCTCATTAGAGCACTGAGTACCAACATAAAATTTAAACTAGTAGGCTAGATCAGAACTACTCTGGCCTGGTCTGTGGCTGCAGCAAAGTACCCTAGATGTAAATTGTTCCAACCGCTGCTCTATAGCTTCCTCACAGTTGGAGCGGAATAGTATCTCCTTCATTTTATCTTTTCATTGTAGAAAAGGAAATACCATTCTGAGCAACTCCCAGATCTAGCCCATTTTTGTAAAAAAAAAACCGAAAGCCATTATTACATCTTCCTATTAAAAATGCAATTAAAGCGTTATCCTCATATTTCTATTTTATACAGTTAAACAAGTATATAATCATCTTAAGACAAATTAATTATCATGGCACAAAAACAGAGCAAAGTGTCCTTTTATCAAGCCCAACACAACTAGGCAACATCAGCAGTGGTGGGATTCAAATATGTGAACAACCAGTTCTCTGTGTGGATGCCGCTTCCAGAAGTCCATTCTGGGCCTGGGCAACAAAAAATTAGCTACCAATTCTACCAAACTGGTGCAAACCAGCTGAATCCTACCACTGAACATCAGGGAAGCAGAAACTGCAGATTTCAGTAAGGTATCTTACTGAATGTACAGAAAGTTGGACATTATATAAGAGGAAATTCCTGCCTCCATCTGTAGTCTGTTGAGGCAGAATTTCTTTAAGTTATTTAAAACACTTCTAAAAATTCATACCACCTTGCTATGTTATTATTTATAAGTTAAGGTGCCAGTGGTCTTCTACTGTATCTTTTGATAATCCCTATGTTCTTTTATATTTCTTTCCCACCCACACCCACACCCATCTTCAATCTCTTTTATCTTCCTTGCATTTTACGTTGTGATTAGCATTTCTGGTCAATCTTTTTGCCTGTTCTGAAATCTAATAATACAGATTGTAATTTCCAATTATAAGTTAATGCAAGCTGTATTGTCTTAGATGTAAACTTGAAAGCAAGAGAAATATTATTAACTCAGATTATTGTGGATGTTTGCTTCGGTCCTGAATTCTGAAAGTTCCTTCCTAACCTGCTGGGTTGGGAGATGGTGTCGCCATATGGAATTAGAACTGAGCAACTACTCAGTTGACACAAGAATCTAGCCCGAAGATGGTTCTTCCATTTTTCTGCAGCTGTAGCAGCTTTTTAGTATTGACCTGGATGAAAATCTTCACTAAATAGTTA